AGAGAGAGACACGCACACACACGCACACAAACAAACAAACTGAAATTACTAACCACGCTCAGACAAATGTTGGCGGCAATTCGTCGTTTCGCGGACGACCTTCGGCGCGCTTTCAAGGCCCTATCCCGGGCAGTGGAGGAGATTGTCTCAATGGTCAGTAGCCTGTTCTCCTGGCTGGCCAGTATGGTGGACGTCTGCAACAAGAACATGGGGGAGCCCTATCGGAAGTGTAAAAAGGTAGGCATTGTTTTACTGATTAATGTGAAATAGAAATTATACTAAAGAGATGGGCATATGTGTAGCACCATCACTATCCAGCCATAGAGAGACTGAGAGAAAAAATGTAGCCTACTAGGAGTACTAGTATGTAGGCCATTAAATTTAAGCGCATATGTATGTGTGTGTGTTTGTGTGTGTATGTATGTGTCTGTGTGTATGTGTAAATGTTTTCAATCCGACATCCAATATCTATCTATCTATCTATCATCTATCTATCTATCTATCTATCTATCTATCTATCTATCTATCTATCTATCTATCTATCTATCTATCTATCTATCTGTCCATCCGTCCGTCCATCCACCCACCCGTCTATCTATCTATCTATCTGTCTATCTATCTATCTATCTATCTATCTATCTATCTATCTATCTATCTATCTATCTAGTTACGCTCTAGTTGGCCACCCTTTTGATAAATAAAAAGAAAGCTTTAAAAAGCTAAAACTAAACCGTTCTCCATTAAACCGACTTTTATTATTTTCGAAGTAATATCGTATCTAAGAGCACTTCCACAAATGACGAATGAATTTTTTTCTGTCTAACTTATACTAGCGGCAAAATTAGCGTACTTACTGCAGCCACACTTCCTTCCCAATACTCAGTGAGAAAATATACACGACATCTTTCATGGTCAAACGACATCTGAAGAAAAATTCACAACACAAAATAAACAAATAAGACAAAAGTTACGTTCATTTTCACACAAATTATGGGTGGCTGGCTGGTGTTTCGGTGTGGGTTGCTTCTTCTTTCCCAATCAAATACATAATGTATCTATCGTCCGTATCTCTCCTCCTTTTTTGTTTTGTTACTCTTTTATAACACTTCAAATCGTAGGCACTTATATGACCCAGTTGTGTTGCTAGTGTTACTATTAGCAGACAGAAACAATAGAGGTAAAGAAAATGTTCTACCATTCGGAAGTGCGCACTTGTGGTGCCTATTAAAACTCTTACAAAAACCAAAATAAGAGAGAAAAAAAGACAAAAACGAAAACAAAAGCAACTGACCATACTCATGACTCCGAGCAGGCGTTTGAGGACGGGTACAACGACTGCTCCGACGCGCTCGGCATCTTCGACTTTCTCTGTAACATCGTGAGCGCTGTCAGCCAAGTCTGTCACCTGGCCAGGATAGGGGAGCTGCTCTGCGTCATCGCCGGTGTGGTCAAAGATCTGGTCCTAGAGAAGGTACGAATCCGTGGAAGGTCATGAGTGTCCATTGGAGGATCGGATCGGTTCAGTTTGGTTCGGTTCAGTTAGGGTTCGGTTCGGTTCGGTTCGATTTCTGACGGCTTCAGTACTTACTTTACTTTACTTTATCCGTCCTCTTGTACCTCTAGGGCGTCGAGGGGAGAAAGGGCTTCCTGTCTCTAGCAAGTTTGATGGCCTGGCTGGGTAGGATATTGAATGTTCTCAGGGTATCCTTCACACCCTGGATCCAGGTCTTTCTTGGTCTTCCGTGCACACATTAAATAGACCCCTGCCTCAAACCAATCACCCGACTCGCGGCCTTGAAAACAAATGCGTTTGTTCTTTAAGGTCATCGTCGGTTTGTGCCACAATGGAAGCTTTTCTCCTTCTATGGAGGAAAGTCTGGCTAGGCACGACGGCCAAACCGAACTGAACCGAACCGAACCGATCTTGCCAACGAGCACTGGGCACTAGGCTAATGCAGGCCAGCATGCAAACTTTCTACTTCAAACATTAGACAAGAAAGTTGGAGAAAAAAATAATACCATAGATAAGATTTATATATAGGTGCACGGTATATATTCTACAGTGAAATGCCAAGCTCGGATGTAGGTTTAAAATAATATTATGTAGATGGATACATCTATGGTTGTATAATTTCGAAAACGGTCCAGTGATACCTCAGAGGAGAAAATACCCAGTGCCCATTGTTACGATCGGATAGGTTCGGTTTGGTTTGCTAGCCAGATTGATGGCGCAAAGCGGAGAACGAGGCACAAACCAATCGCTCGACTCGTCGGCTCAAAAACAAACGCGTTTGTTTTCAGGCGACGAGTCGGGCGATCGGTTGGCGATTGGTTTGTCGATCCCCCAATGGACACTCCGTATAACACAGACAGAAACAATGCAGATACAAGCCTGAGTATATTGTGTCACAACTATAGGGTTGAGTGCCCACGTTCGTAAACACTCACACACACACACACACACACACACACACACACACACACACACACACACGCAGAC